TTTTACATATTAATTTTTTTAACATATGTTCTTATATTCTAAATATCATGCCTTGTGTTCCTAAACAAATATCCATCATGTTTTGATGTTCTAAACAGATATTCTTTATGTTCTAAACTATGTATGCCTTATGTTCTAAACATATATTGCTAATGTTCTACCTTATGCTTTAAAATATATCCATCATGCTTTTATGCTTTAAACATTATGCTTTTGTGTTTTACACTTTATTCTTTGTGTTCTAAACTAATATCCATCATGTTCTAAACATTATGTCTATATGTTCTAAAGTTTACTTATAAGTTTTTAAAGCTACATTGTATATTTTTAGTTTAGTGTTTATGTTTTAGAGTAATTCATTATGTTTTAAAACAACTATATTACTGCCACGTTTAATAATTAAATTAAATTACTATCCTCTAAAGTTTATCCTTAATGTTCTAAAGTATACCTCTATGTTCTACAATTTACCTCTATGTTCTAAAGTTTACCTCTATTTTGTAACATTTTCTGCATAAATAATTTGTGTATGTTACAGATATAATATGATCTTTGGTCCATTTACTGGAGTTGATCATCATAAAAAATGTGTTACTTTTGCGGCTTCTTTTGTAGCTCATGAGGATATATCATCTTTTGAATGGGTTTTCAAAACTTTTCTTAAATCAATGGGAAATAACGAGCCTGTGTGTTTGATTACCGATCAAGACCCTGCAATGAAAGTTGTTGTTCGTAATGTTTTTCAAACTACAGAACATAGGTTTTGTATGTGGCATATTATGAAAAAGGTACCTGAAAAAGTAGGTCGGGCGATTGCCCAAGACACTGATTTCTTGAAAAAACTGTGTTCATGTGTTTGGCATTTAGAGATTGAGCCGGCAGAATTTGAAGAAAAGTGGAACAAAGTTATTTCAGAATTCCATTTGAACGATCATGAATGGTTGGCATACATGTACAACATACGTGATATGTGGATTCCAGCGTATTTCAGAGATTCATTTTTGGGTGGCATTATGAGGACCACATCTAGATCAGAAAGTGAAAATAATTTTTTCACTATGTTCACAAATCCCCATCTCACTTTGATTGAGTTCTACATGAGGTAATAAGTAATTGTCTATATATGTTCTAAAGTTACTCTTTATGTTCTAAAGTTTTCCTTGTATGCTCTAAAGTTTTCTTTTTATGCTTTATAGTTTTACTATTTATTTTATAATTCTCTTTTATGTTTTCTTTTTCTCTTTATGTTTTAATAATATTTAGATCATAATAAACAAGTCATGTATATTTATATGTTCTAATGTAATTCACTCTATGTTCTACAATTATCTTCTATGTTTTAAAGTTAATTTCTATTTTCTATAGGTTTGAATGTGCATTGGATGCTCAAAGGCACACTCAAAATAAAATGGATAATGATTCGAAGAATAAGCGTCCGGAGTGTAAGACTCCAATTCCTTTAGAGAAAGATGCTTCTGAATTGTTTACAACAACAATTTTCTATGAATTTCAATATGAGCTTGAAATTTGATGTTTTAATTGTGGTGTTGAGGAGATGAAGAAGGACAATGAGCTTTACATTTTCAATTTGAGGGAAGGAACTAGAAGGAGGACTTTTGATGTTGTTTTTGATCCAACTACCTTTGATACCAAGTGTTTTTGTAAAAAATTTGAACGTGATGGTGTGCCTTGTAGGCATATGATTTGGGTGTGGAAGGCAAGGATGTTAGAAAAAAATTCCCAAGGCCTACGTTCTAAATAGATGGTGTACAATGGCTTATAAGAAGCCCATTTTTGATTTAGAGGGTAATGTGTTGGAGGAATTTACTAATGCAGTAGATAAGAAAATGTTATTAAATGATTTGTGGTCTGAAATTCATGCTTGTGTGAGTTTAGTGCAAAACAATGAAGATGATCTTAGTGATCTTGTCAAAAAACTTCGAGCCATGAGGGTAGATTTGGAACAGAAGAAAACAAATGGAAGCAACAATCTTTCGAGCAAAGTTAAAGACATTGAAATGCTTATTGGAGCTAGTCTACCTTCTAATGTTTTAATCAAACCTCCTAAAATTTCGAAGAACAAAGGCACGGGGGTTCATGTTCCAAATCAGGTCAATGTTCCAAATGATGTCCATGTTCCAAATCAGGTTCATGTTCCAAATCAGGTAAATGTTCCAAATGATGTCCATGTTCCAAATGAGGTTCATGTTCCAAATAGTGACAAAAGAATGAAGAGTGACAGAGAAAAGTCTATTGAACAAAGTCAAAAGAAGAAGAGATTATGTAGAGCATGTGGGGAGCTTGGTTATCATGATAGTCGTAATTGCCCTGGAAAAGTCAAGTGATATTGTAAGTAAACTTTATTTTTAATTTTCTAAACTTTAAGTTTTAAGTCAAAATTAATATATAATTTATACTTTGTGTTCTAAATTAATATTCTTATTTTCCAAACATAATCTCTAGTGTTTTAAACTAATATATATGTCATGTAATATTATTTTTTTATGTTCTAATGTAATCCATTTAATGTTCTAAAGTTACTTTCTAAGTTCTAGAGTTACTTTCTTTCTATGTTTTAAAGTTTATTATTTATGTTTTAAAGTAATTCAATATGCTCTAAAGTAACTATGTTCTAAACAAGTTTAGAACATAAAGTTATTCATATATGTTCTAAAGTAATTCAATATGTTCTAAAGTTACTTTTCTATAATGTTTATTCTTTCTGTTTTAATGTAATTCAATATGCTCTAATGTTAAGAACATAAAGTTATTTATTTTGTTCTAAAGTAATTATGTTCTAAGCAAGTTTAGAACATAAAGTTATTCATATATGTTCTAAAGTAATTCAATATGTTCTAAAGTGTTTTCTCTATGTTCTAAAGTTACTTTTCTATGTTCTAAAGTGTTTTCTCTATGTTCTAATGTTTATTCTTTCTGTTTTAGTGTAATTCAATATGCTCTAATGTTTAGAATATAAAGTTATTCATTTTGTTCTAAAGTTTTCCTTTATATTTTAACTTTTCTCTTTATGTTCAAAATATTTTCTTTATATGTTCTAAAGTTTTCTTTATATGTTTTAAAGGTTTCTTTAAATGTTCTAAAGTTTTTACTCTATATAATATCATGTGTTCTAAACTAATAGAAATGACATGTTATAACATTTTTTAATGCTAAATTATGTGCTTATGTTCTAATATTGTTTTATTTTTTTTTCTTTATAGGTTGATGAATATACTATTAATCCAGTTGCATGAGATGTTATATATTTAGAAACAATATCTCATTTACTAGCACGTAAAATATTATTCATGTAATTCTTAAAATATAAGAACTCAATTTATTTACTTTTAGAAACAATATATTTTTATTTCTTTTTTGTCCAATTATTATTCAGAGTATCTCTACTAGTGTTTTTCTTATCAATTTTTATGTTAATTAAAGTTGATTATAATGTTTTATAACATCTCCTGTCTTTTCATCTTCCCCCCTTTTCGTAATTATAAGTTGTTTTATTAAGTCAATTTGAACTACGAGTAATGATAGTACAAGCATTTTAGATACCTTTATTAAACAGCATTTAGTTGAATCTTGCTTTAATCAACTTTTATTTATTCAAGTTTCTTAACATTGATTTACATATGCCTTCTTAGATATGCACTAAAGAGTGTATGCATTGTATTCAAAAGGAAAAATAAAGCAAAATTAATGGATTAGAAGCAGCCAGTTTAGAACATAAGCAAATACTTTAGAACATAGATAAAAATAATTAGAAGATTAGCAAAATCAATAATTTGGACATGTAATAAGAAAAAAGTACAACATAATAAGATATAATTAGAATCAAGTTACCAATTGAATGCTTTGGAATCTTGTTACTTTGGCTGTTGTCATTTCTTGTTACTTTTTTTTTAATTTTCTTATGTTCTAATGTTCTACACTTTAAGTTTTAAGTCAAAATTAATATATAATAATATATTCTAATATCCTAACTTTATAAGCATATAATTATTAAAACATAATCAAAAATACTTTAGAATATACCCATATAATTTAGGACATGAATATAATTTAGCATATAAGTTTATATGATATATTTTATATTAAAATTTTAGCATTTAATATGATTCAACAATATATTTCTTGTAACAGGTAAATACATAGAACATAAGAAATTACTGTTATATTCTTTGCAAATATCTCTCTACAAATATAAACTTAAGATCTTAACAATCATATATCCATTTTGTTCTCCTTTGACCACTTTTTTGATCTCCTAATCACTTTGTTCCGTTCTTCATTTACTTCTGCTGTTATTATCTTCCCACAATACTCCACTCTTAATTTTTTCATTTGGTCAAACTGCAAAAAAAAAAAAGAGTAACTTTTAGAACATAAACAGAAATACTTTAGAACATAAGCATATAATTTAGAACATGAATATAATTTATCATATAAGTATAAATAAATATAATAAACCATAATATATCTAAACAATAACCAAACCAAACCACAACACTAAAACCATAACACCAAAACCATAAACAAAACTAATTTAAAACATGTATCTTATGTTTTAAACTTACATTGTCTAATTCTAGTCCCGAATTCCATTGTTTTACAGATTCTCCTTCATATGTTTCCATGTGCTTCAACAGGAACACTCCACAATCATGTTTGTTCTTATTGCTCTTCCATGACATACTCAAGTTTCTTGTTTTGAAGGAGGATACAAAGTCACTCTTTATATTTGAGTCAATTGAGTGAACGAAATCAACCAAATGCATTCAACTGAAAATTGGATAAACTTTAGAACATATAAGGTAAACTTTAGAACATAAAGAAAAACTGTAGAACATAAAGGGAAAACTGTAAAACATATAAGGCAAAAGTTAGAACAAAAGTATAATTAAAAAAAATGTAAACTTTGATGTCTTACCATTAATCTATGGTAATTTCCATATTTATTTTGAAAAGGAATATTTGGTGGAAGAAATATGTTGTCAATCAAATCAAATGTTCCTTCCACAAAGTTGACACACAGCAAATAGTAGTGATCTGGTAAAACGACCGGGAAGAAAACCTAATAGATAAACAGAATTAGAACATAGATAAGCAAAATTAGAACATAAGCATGCATTTTAGAACATAAGCATATAGTTTAGAACACAAGCATATAATTTTTATAACATGTATTTTAGAAAATAAGCTTGTAGCTAAGAACATGTAGTTTAGAACATAAGTAAGTAGTTTAGAAGATAAATAAGTAGTTTAGAACATAAGTAGATACTTTAAAACATAGATAAAAATAATTAGAACATAAACAAAACCAATAATTAGAACATATAATAAGAAAAAAGTACAACATAATAAGATACCAAGTTACCAATTGAATGCTTTTGAAGCTTGTTACTTCGGCCGTTGTCATTTCTTGTTGCATTCTATCAAACAAAGCCTTCATTCTATCATCTTGCCTTTCATTTGATTTGAAGTATTTTTTTGTACAACGTATGAGCTGAAAAAGAAAAAGAAATTAAAACATAAGTAATTAGAACATAGGTGCATAGTATAATCTATATGAGAAACAAAAAGAATCTACTCTTAGAACATAGTTATAATTTTAAGTTCGAAAACATACATAGCATTCAGTAGTGAAAAAGAATCTACTCTTCTTGTCTACACCACGTCTTTTATTTTCAAAATTCAATAGGCAAACATAAGTATCCACAACATTGTTCACATGTGCTTATCTTCTATGAGACTATGAATCTCATCTCTCGTAATCGTTGTCCCCATGTTATCAGCATACAAAAGCTCCTAAAATCAGAAAATAAAATCAGAACATAAGCATGTAGTTTAGAACATAAGCATGTAGTTTAGAACATAAACACATAATTTAGAACATAAGAATATAGTTTTAGAACATAAGTACCTATTTTAGAACATAAGCATATAGTTTTAAACATGTACTTTATAACATAATCTCGTAGCTTAGAACACGCAGTTTAGAACATAAGAATGAAGTTTAGAACATAATTTATAGCTTAGATCATATAGTTAGAACATAAGCATATAGCTTAGAACATAAGCATATAGCTTAGAACATAAGCATATAATTTTAAGTTTTAAAGTCTTACTTATTATCTCCTTGAGCAAACGCATACTCAGCTACCTTTCTATTGTCCACGTTCTTGAAAAGTTTTTCATGTTCAACCATGAAAGGTGAACGCAAGTACATTGGAAGCTTATCCTTTCTCTTTTTTTTCCGTGTCTTTTCTTCTCCTTTTTTCTTCTCCTTGTTTCCTACTTAATTCAATTAAAAAAATATCACATAGATAACAAAAACACATAAACTAAATCAAACCAAAATTTATTGATAACAAAAACCATAACCAAATCAAACCAAAATTTATTATTACCCAAGTTTTAAATTAAAATTTAACTAAACCATAACCAAACATTTGTTTTAAAAGTTTAACCTAACTTTTCTAAATATTTCTAACCTAAAGATCTAATGTTTACAAAATGATTACCCTTTCTTGTTCTCATTTTTTTTCTTCTTTGTTCTTCTCTTCATTCTGCTTCCTTCATTTTCTTTCTTCTCCTCTGATTCTCCTCTTTTTCCTCCTTTTTCTTCTTCCCTTTTCTTCTCTCTTCTCCTCTTGGATCTCCTCTTTTTCCTCCTTTTTCTTCTTCCCCTTTTCTTCTCTCTTCTCCTCTTGGATCTCCTTTTTTTCCTCCTCTTTCTTCTTCCCCTTTTCTTCTTTCTTCTCCTCTTGCTTCTCTTCTTTTTCCTCTTCTTTCTTCTTCTCCTTTTCTTCTTTCTTCTCCTCTTTTTCCTCTTCTTTCTTCTCCTCTTTTTTCTCTTCTTGCTTCTCCTCTTCATCCAATGTAGGTGGATGATCTGGATTCAGAAAAGCACAATTTAGAACATTTGCTGTCACTTCTTCGTAAGTGAGTTCTGCTTCATTATCTTCTTGATTTTCTGGGACATCAAACCATAAGTAGAAACAATAAGGACACAACATAGAAATAGTTGGAAAAAAATTTAGAACATTAGAAATAACTAGAATATAACCAGAAAAATTTAGAACACAAGAAGTAACTTTAGAACATAACTAATTTACAACATAATTATATTATTTAGAACATATGCACATAATTTAGAACATAATCATACAATTTAGAACATATGCACATAATTTAGAGCATAACTAATTTCGAACATAATCATATTATTTAGAAATATGCACATAATTTAGAGCATAACTAATTTAGAACATAATCATATTATTTAGAACATATGCACATAATTTAGAACATAATCATATAATTTAGAGCATATGCACATAATTTAGCACATAATCATATAATTTAGAGCATATGCACATAATTTAGAACATAAGAAAGTAGTTTAAAACATAAGCATCTGATTTAGAAAAAATTTAGAACATCAGAAATAACTTTAGAACATAACAGAAAAATTTATAACATAAGAAGTAATTTTAGAACAAATCTAGTAATATTAGTTCAAAAGAAAAGAGTTTGAAAATAATGTAAAACTACCAAACTGCTGGTGAGGGGGTCAATAAGTTGAAACTTGGAGGAGTTATATCAAAAGGTTGCTTCTTTTTTGGAGGAATTGGGTTTTTTGGTGACTCCTCATTCCTTTTCTCTTTCTTCTCAATTTTTTCCTCCTCGTTTCTCTCTTTTATGTCCTGCTCTTTTTTCTTCTTCTTTTGATCCCAAATCTTCATAGCAATTACACCATAAAAATTAAGTATTATAGCAAATAGAAAAAAATAATTAGAAAATAAAAAGTAACTTTAGAACATAAGAAATATATACAATTAGGAGACAACCTAGAAATAGTTAGAATATAAAAAATTAAGAATTAACTTTAAAGCATAACCAGAAAAAATTTAGAGCATAAGAAGTAATATTAGAACATATCTAGTAAATATTAGTACATAAAAAATGAATTTGAAAATAATGTGAAATTACCAACTACTGGTGAGGGAATCAACAAGTTTTTGTCTTTATTCTCTTCATTTCTCTCTTCTTTGTTCTTATCTTTTTCCTCTTCCTTTGATCTCAAATCTGCTTAACAATTAGAACATAACTAATTTAGAACATAACTAATTTAGAACATAATCATATAATTTAGAACATAAGCATGTGATTTAAGCGCATGTTTTAGAACATAAAAAAGTACTTTAAAACATAAGCATCTGATTTAGAACATAAGTATAATTTGGGAAATTAAGCATGTACATGTGAAATTACCAACTGTCGGTGACTTTGGTGACCTTGTTTCCTCGAATTTCTTCCATGCCTTATCCATAACCATATCCAATTCTTCAATAAATGCTGGTTCATCGAAGACATGTTGATCTTGGCTGAGTATAGAAGGGCTTTTCTTTTCTTCTTGGTTCACGAATGTCTATAAAATAATAAATTATAATTTAGAACATAATATGCATAATATTTATATAAATTTTATTATACTTTAGAACATAAGCTGAAAATACTTTAGAACACAACCAGAAAATACTTTAGAACATAATTATAATACCTTTGTGTGTACTTGCACCATATGTTGTCTATGAGATGTTGCATTTTTCCTGTTGTTTCTTCCTCAACAAAAGATCTTTTGCTTGTTCTAACATGCCATACATCTCTTTAACATTCGAGGCAAGTGTTTTTGCCAAATCTCCAAATTTGCTCAAAAAGCCCTTCATTAGAACACAAAAATATTTTAGAACATAAAGGACATAACATGGATAATTTAACAGAAAAGGATTAAATGGAGCATAAAATATAATTTAGAACATAAACTAAATCATACCATCATGTCATTTCGAGAAGTTGTAGAACTAGAACCTATTGATGATTTTTCCATTCTCTTCTCTTTTTCCTTTTGTTTTGGTTGTTTCTTTTTTCCTTTTGGTGCCTTCTAGTATATAAATTATAAAATTTAGAAAACAACAACATAAATTTTAAAGATTAGAATATAAAGGTTAGAATAAAGTGTTTTCAATTTTTACAAGATAAGCATATGTAGTAATAATTTAAAAAGGTATAATTACCATTGATGACTCTTCCTTTCTCTTTCCTTGTCCTCTTGTCTTGATTGTTTCTTGTTTTCTTCCTACACATTATAATATATGAATTAAAAAATTTAGAATATAAAGGATAAACTTTAGAGCATAAAGAGAGAACTTTAGAACATAGGCAAAAGTAAGTTGAGTGATTAGAACATAAAGGAAAACTTTAAACATAAAGGGTAAACTTTAGAACATAATGGAAACTTTAGAACATAAAGTGTAAACTTTAGAACATAGGCAAAAGTAAGTTGAATATAAAGTTTAGAATATTTAGGGGTAAATGTTAAAATAGTTTATCACATAAAGTATATAGTTTAGAATATTTAGGGGTAAATATTAAAACAGTTATCACATAAAATATATAGTTTAGAGCATAAAGGGTAAACTTTAGAACGTAAGCAAATATAGATAGAATATAAAGTGTAGTGTTTAAACATAAGCATATACAAATATCATACCACAATTGATTCCATTCTTTCCAAGAGTTTTCCATATCCAAATCCATGATCTTTTTCAAACTTATATCTCACTTGAATCCTTTCCTTTGTCCACACCGAAAATTAGTGGACATTTTCTTGGTTTTTCTAACCCTCCTCTTTGTAGACGATCAAAATAGAATACCTATTTAGTACATGTTAAGAATTAATTAGAATATTTTTCACACATTTTCAACATAACAAGAATAATATATATACATAATGGTAAGAATTTAAAACTTACCATTAGAAAAGGTAAAGGACCTGTAAAGTAAGAATTTCCCTTCTTCCATACACTTACAGAATCTTTCAAGTGCTCAATCACAAATGTGCACCAATCCAATTCAGCAATTTTCTTTACATCCATACAACTATACAAGAATTTAATGTATAGTTGTGGGTTGTTTGTTGATCGAATGCAACAATTGACAACACATACCACAAAGTTCCAAAGAAATTCATCAGAAACTGATTTTTCCTTCTTCAATTCTTGAATTCTGTCAATCAATCTCTTGTTGGTTGGACTTCCCTTTTAGAGGTAAAAAAAACATATAAATTAAAACCTATGGAGATAATAGATCTATTTTAAAGCAGAAAACACTTTAGAACATAAGCAAAGCACTTTAGAACATACAATTTATAACATAACCATCTTATACAATATAATATCATAAAAATAGCTAAATATAATTTTGAACATTACAAGTCAAATAACTACATAAATGATCTACGTTTTAGAACATAAAATTCATACTTTAGAACATAAAATTTAAAACATAACCACATTATATCATCATACTTTTTTGAGGCCAAACTTGCTTCTCCAAGCTTTTAGAAACTTGCTCCATTTCAGATTTGACTCATCATTTGGTTGCTCAATCCTTTTGCCTCCCAATGGCAACCCATAAGCCAAATGAACATCAATTGCCTCCAAAAAGATTTCTTGTTTTCTCTTTGGTAACATCAAACAACATCTCTCCGTGTCAAAATTCGTAACCAAGTTTTCTGTCAACCTAGAATTATAATGAAAAATGTAAGATTTAAAGCACAATACAACTATATTTAGAATATAATAGTCAATCTTTAGAACATAGAAGATTAAAACATTTAGTATAATATTTAAACTTTTGAACATAATTTAGAACATTATATAAAAAAAAGTCTATTTTAGAACATAATAAACATACATTAGAACATAACAAAAAATTAATTTAGAACATTAGTGTATAGCAATTCAAACATGAGAGATCATAATTTTAGAATACAAGAAGTAACTTTAAAACATAAGTAATTTACAACATAATCATATTATTTAGAACATATGCACATAATTTAGAACATAATCATACAATTTAGAACATATGCACATAATTTAGAACATAGCTAATTTCGAACATAATCATATTATTTAGAACATATGCACAAAATTTAGAGCATAACTAATTTAGAACATAATCTTATAATTTAGAACATTAGTGTATAGCAATTCAAACATGACAAATCATAATTTTGAACATAACATTGATAATACTTATGATTTTAGAATATGATTTTAGAACATAACATTCTACTACTTACATAGAATTAATATGGATTGGTAAATCCAATTCCAAAAAGCCTCCAAAACCAATGTTCCGAATAGCTTGCTTTTGTTTTTCCGAAAGATTTATCAAACATCCTTCATGAATTGAGTAGGAGGTACTCTTTGATAAGGTTGCTCTTAACTAGTTTATCTTGCTCATTAGCTTCTACTACTTGGACATCCTCACCATCTTCTTCTTTTTCAATCTTTCTTTTTTCTTCTTCTTCACATCCTCACCATGAATAGATAAACATAATTAGAACATAGATAAGCAAAATTAGAACATAAGCGTGCACTTTAGAACATAAAAATAAAGATTGTAAAGATTAAAGAGTATTATTACCTGAGTTTGATTTTTTTTATTGATTTTTTGTTCCTCCTACTATCATCTTCCATCTCCTCTTTTTCATCTTTCTCTTTCATCTTTACATCACCCTTATTATCATCCTCACCATCATCTTCACTATCATTATTCTCGTCATCATCCTCAACATTATTACCCTCTTCTTCTTTTTGATCTTTTCCTTCTTCTTGATCTTTTTCTCTTCCTTCCTTTTTTTTGCAATTTTCGAGGTGGTTGAAGCCTTGTTGGAAGTTTTCTATGTCTTATAGCAACACTTTTACTTTCAATATGCTTCTCAAATTCCGATCTATCAATTACTTCCGCTTCAACGTTTTCAACTTTCCTTTAAAAACAATAAAAAATAATTAGAATACAACTAACATTAAATAGAGTGCAAATATAAAGGGATAAGATGAACATAAACTATAATGGATACATATTAGAACATAATACAAATCTTCAGAACATAAGAGAAAATTTTAGAACATAATGGAAAACTTTAGAACATATTGGAAAACTTTAGAACAAAAATTTAAAACATAATAGGTAAAGTTTAGAACATTAGTTTAGTTACCTTTTTCTTACATAAGTAATTTCTTCTTCTTGTATATTAGTAACTCCTCCTTCTGATTTTTCTTCATTTTGGCCTTGCATTTTACTGCAACATTAAGAAATCAAAAACATTAGTAACATTCCAACATTATTATTATATTTTTTTGAACATAGGAATAATTTAGAATATGCTGAAAAATAGTTTAGAACATGCTTAAAAAGAGTTTAGAACATGCTGGAGAGTGAAAAACCCAAAATAGAATGAGTAAACTAGAAATTTAAAAGACAAATGAAACAGAAACATGATAAGGTTTGATTGAGTTTATTTTCAGCCCATGTTCTAAATTATTTCAACCTATGTTCTAATTTTTTCCTATGTTCCAAATTTTTTCTACCTATGTTCTAAAGTTTATTTTCAGCCCTGCAATCACAAGTTCACTACCAACAACCCCTAACCAATTAGCTGCTGCTGCATAAATCAACCACCACACCACAACCCCTACAAACAGGGGCAATCGCACCAACATCACCAATTTCGAAATCAAAATTCGAAAAAAATCACTAATTTTTCCAATTTTCCTTAGCTTGGTTTGTAAGTGGATGAAAATAACTTTCCAGGTTGGAATAGTTTTTCTAAGGGGGGAAAAGCATTCCTGTTCTAAGTAAGGAGAGCTACATGTGCTTCCCCAACTTAACTTCCTCCCCCCTTCCATTTCTAACCCTTCATCTCCCCTTCTTCCTTTCCTCTCCAAATTTTCAAGCAAAGAACCAACATAGGAAAATTAATCTCCATTGCAATAATATTCCATGGATTAAAGTTAGTTTGAATTGTTTCTTTTAAATCAACACAACTTAAGCGATAAACTACTTAGGAATTTTCAGCCTAAGAGATTCCTTCTAGAAATCAATTTTCATTGGAGTAACTCCTATGACTAAAAATTCTGTTCACTGTTTCTGATCCTCACTAATCTGGCACAATTCATTTCGATGCTACAGATCAAAGCACAAAATAAAAATCAAGCATCTCCTCCAAGTTCTACAAATATCAAGTGTCTACTTGACATTGCAAATTTTTTTTTTTCAACTCCCGGTCTCGCTACACATTTAGATCGTCTATAAACTACTCGAGGCATTTTGAAGCCATATTTGATTCAAGCTATATTCAATCACATGATACTCCTAAATATGATCAACTAATTGTAAAATATCCAAAAATAAATAAAAAGAGCAAGTGGAAAAATTTCATAAGCAATCTATGTCAAATTACAAATCTGGTAATCAAGATTCATTTAAAATGCAAGGTTCTAATATATCAACTGAAACTCAGGACCAATTTCAGTTGCAAAGCACAAAACTGACAATCAAAATTCATTTAAAACGCAAAAACTCTAATTACCAGCAGAAACTTACCACCAATTTCAGTTACAAAGCACAAAATTGACAATCAAAATTCAATTAAAAACCTAAAATCAAATCAAAAAATCGGAAAACAAACGCAAAAATCAAAACAAAAAATCGCAAAATCTACTTGAACAACATGCTAAGTTCATGGAAATTTGAACAAAATAAAAAAAAACGCAAAATCAAATCAAAAAATCGGAAAACATAAAATCGCAAAAATCAAAACAAAAAATCGCAAAATCT